GAGATGCAAAGAAAGCAGGATTGGGCAGAAAGGAAAACTGAACTTTGATGCAATCTCCCAAAGAGCCTCAGAAGACATTATTGAGAGTTTTGAAAATGAGCTATCTCTTCAGAGTTGTTCCAAGTTGGGATTAGGGGATCAGACCTTTAGACTCACAGATAAATCATTGATTGGATGTGTGATGCCCCAGGAAGCTGGCTTGGTCTTAGGTGAAGCAGCTCCCTTGGCTAAGAACAATTTCTAGAGAAGGGATCAGCCCTTAACACCCAAGACACCCGGGGTAATGAGTACCTAGATTCTGAAAGGGTATCTGGATCTGGGTGGCTTCCCACTATCCACCACATTTTTCAAAACTAAATGGGTAAAATCCAATCTTCTTAGCATGGCATACACAAGGCCTGCCATAGTCTTGCACCTGTTCACTTTCAGCCTGGATGAGGAAGGAAGCCTTCACCTTCCCTTCTAGTTCCTGTCCTCAACCCACTTGTCTTCTGACAAACTTACACAAATTCTTTAAATTATACCTGAATGCACCTCTTCTGGGAAACCTCCCCTCACTATCCTTGTGGACTGAATGATGTTTTCTCTTCAGGGTAGCCCAGCATAGTGGTTTAGGAGTGTAGCTTCTGGAACCAGGATTTGAATAGCAGCTCTGCCACTTGCTAGTTGTGTAACCTGATGCAATTTACTTAACCTGTCTGTATCTTAGTTTCTGCATCTATGAAACAGGATAACAATAATACTCCACATCATTGGGTTGCTGAAGAGAGCTAAATGAGTTAATATGTGTAAAGTTGGAGCAGTATCTGGCAGAAGTAAATAGCTGCTGTTATTGTTTTTGTTGTTGCTATTCAAGGTCTCACTATGCATTTGTTGAAGGCATCAAGGATGAAAGAAAGGAACTGGGAAAGACAAAGAGCAGAGTATGTTCAGGAATGTTGAGTAATCCAATCTGTCACAGGGGAGTACTAGCCTCTGTCAGCCTATGTTAAGAAGAGTTTTCAATGTCACAGTAAAAAAATGAGCATCTTATTTGTTAAGCAATAAGAAACAATGACATAGTTTGTCAACAGATGGGAGAAAAAAAGTCAAAGAGAGGGACAGATTGAATCACGAGGAGAGGCATATATGTGGTGAGGTGACAGTTGTAGGTGAGGGTGGTGTTAGAAAAAATGAGACAGGGAGATGTATGGGAGGACTGGGACAGGTAGAAGAAATGGGTTTAGGCGAAAGCTATAGGAATCCTGGTGTGGCGTTGTGGGTTAATACACTGAACTACAAAATCAGTTTGAACAGCAAGATTCGTATTTCAACCTCACCAGCCGCTCCTCGGAAACTCTATACAGGGTCGCTATGGGTCGGAACCATCTTAACGGCACTCAGCAATATGAATATATGGAGGATGGAGTGGGGAGTCAGGTAAGGCTGATGGGGACAGGTGAGTAGTGATCGGAACACTCGGGGAGTGGCAAAGATAAAGGGTGATGCAGACAAGTGAGGTTGAAGGGAACAGGTAAGAAGTGATGGGCCCTGGTGGGGGATGGGATTAAGCGAATGGCAGGACCAATGAGGAGAAGCTGAAAGCGGGGACTGGACCATTCCAGAGGAAATCCTAGGGCTGAATGAGTTGAGAGAGAGGCAAAGTACAATGTGATGTCAGAGAAGGAGCGGTGATGTAAGAGCTGGGGCGGTGGGGCGGTGATGTCAGGGCTGGTGCTGATGCTGGCGACGCAGTGCATTGTGGGCAGCTCCCCGTTCTGCTGCTGCTGCCACCGTCGCCCGAGGACGATCGGGGCCGGGCCGGGCCGGGCCGGGATGGTCCCGGTCGGGAGGCCGCCG